TGGATCGAGCCCCACATCGGGCTCCCTGCTCGGCAGGGAGTCTGCTTCTCCCTCTGACCCTCCTCCCTCTCATGTGTTCTCTCTCTCTCAAATAACTAAATAAAATCTTAAAAAAAAAAAAAAAAGAAAGAAAATAAGCAGCGTTCTATGATCAACACACATAAGCATAAATAGGGCATATGTGTTGCCCTGGTAGGTGCTGAAATGGATCAGACACTGTTCTCATAATTACAGACCTTTCCTTCCATTTTGTGTAAATATACTTTTCATATTCAAAAGAAGATTGTTGGCCTTAAAAGTTTACTCTTCTTATTAATCATAATCAGGTATTAGGGAAGATAAGGAGTGTGTGGCACAGAGCCCAAATACCTGTCATGAATAATAGAGAAATTCATTACTTTCTCCTGTAAAATCTGTGCAAATGCAGTGGTTCTACTCCATGAAAGCGTCAGGGACTTAGGACCCTTCTGTCTCGTGGATTCTCCATTTTAGGGGTTTTCACCCTAGTATTCATAGTCTAAAGTGGCTCAGAATATATCTGCATTCCCATCAGTGACTAGGAAGAGGGGAAAGTGAGGAGGAGGTCATAATCTTTTCTTTGAAAGGATGTGGTGTGAAGTTGCACACATCATTTTTTATTTCTCATTGGCCAGGACTTAGTCCTAAGGTCGCACCTAGTTTTAAGGGAGGCTGAGAAATGTCTTTATTCTGAATGGCCACAGACTTGGCTCATCTTGCGCTAAACTTGAGAATTGACATTGGAGGATACTTAGCAGCATGCAGTCACGAGGACAGATTTTTGAGTGGAGACACCTAATCTAAAGCAGGTTGCATTTATTCCCTATTATATTACAAATTTTGTTTTCCTTAAGCACTTATACTACTGGATATTTTCTTGTTATTTACTTGCTTATTTGTTTATTGAATATTTCCTCCCCCTGCAATGTAAACTCCAGCTAGGGAAGGGTCTTTGTGTCTTGTTATTGCCACTATGCCAATGTTTAGAACAATGCTTTGCCTATGGTAGAAGTCCAATAATTATATGTTGACTAAAAGAATGAATTACATGTTCTCTTTCAAAATCTGATCATTGGATTCATTTAATAGTCTATATGCAAAGAGTGAAATTCTTCGTGTGTTTACACTAAGTATGAATAAACAGATAAATAAAATATATTCATATTTTTAATAGCTATAAAGGTCTGTTTAATTATGTATAGTGTGCCAGGTTCAGAGGCTTTTCATGTAAGTGTCCTTCCAATAACCAGCATCATATGTATGTTTCCTGATTCAGTTCCTTCCGACCCAGCTGCCATGTATAGTCTGTGGAATTTCTCTAGTCCAGCTGGGTCAGATGATTTTTCCAGCATTTCCGTGTTGTTGATCAGACACTGTAGCCAACAGAAGTTATAGTCAGGAGAACCAGTACCAGATGTGGTTTCTACCAAGAGAAAAGGATCATTCCCTCGCACAGTTAGTTTGGTACATGTAAAGAACGTAGTCCTAAAGCCTAATAATGATAAAATAGAATCTGTGCTTATATTGTGCTTTCCTGTCGTGGGTATACGCATGCGTGTGTGCACACACACACACACACACACACAGATATCACCTCCATTAAGATCCACTGGATCTTTAATATAAACCCAGGGAGGTAAGTACGCCATTATTTTCATTTTACAAATAAGACAAAAAACTCAGAGAAAGTAAATACGAATGACATCGCAGAGACCAAAATCAACCTGAGTTTTCATACGCATATTCTCTTTATCCTATACATATTCTCAATGGCAATATGATTCTTTCTTTGTCAGATTTAACATCATTCTGAAATAAAGAAGACATAAGAAACTTGATCCCTTCCAGTGTCCTTTAGCCAGGAAAATGAGCATAGGTGTTCTCACTTACTTACATTGTTACCCCCACTATCAAAAACCCCAAAAAACAAAAAAAAAACCCCAAAACAAAACCAAACACCTTAATTTTATGATCCTGATGAAAAACCCATAAACCACCCATGACTGGAAGGCTTGGTCCCTGTGAGCATTGTCTCCTCGCCAACCCCCCTTCAAACCCTTCTCCCCCATGATGTTAGGAAGGATGCAATCTTGGGACAAATGACTCAAATTAGAGATGAAGAGTCAATGATATAATGTTCATAAAGTTCAGGTTCTACCACACAGTATTATTAGTAGGGCCGAGTGCACAATAAGCCTTTGATAATTAAGTCTGTTACAGAAATAGGATGTGATTGTTGATGTTCAAGCATTTCACTGGTTAAAAAAAAAACCTCTTCCCTTTGCCTATCCTCTGATGGTTCCCTCAATGAGACTAGGCAAAGGAAAACAAACAATGAATCATGGAACACCACATCAAAAAATAATGATGTACAGTATGATGACTAACATAACACTATAAAATAAAATTAAAAAAAAAAAAGGAAAACAAGCAAACATTCTAGGGTTGAAGAATTTTCCCTTGATCCCTTAATCAAGTAGTTGCTACCTTATAACCGGTCCCTAGAAGGGGCAGGTCATCCCAGAAATTTTGACAGCAGCTGTTTTCTCCTGGCTGTGACTCAGAGCTCTCAGACTGTGGGAGAAGGTAGGTGACTGGCAGCCGTCGCTGGGGCTGGATCCCACCCCTTCACCCTGATGGCTGAGACCCGTTCTTTCCCCATTGCCAAATCTGCAGGGGCTTGTTTTAACTGCAAGCCCAAGGGGGGAGGGGTGCGGGTATTGAGTCCTGGTGTTAGGTCCCTGGGAGTTTTCTGCAGGTTTGGCAGTTTAGGGGGAGTCTTATGGGGGCTGGATAAGGGATTTAGGCATCCCTGATCCTCAAGGTCCTTTTTTTTTTTTTTTTACTTTCCTTGTCTTTTATTTTACTTTTCTCTCTTTCTTTCTTGTAGAAAATTGATGTTTTCTCAATTTTATCTAATTTTATGCTGTGGAAATGGAGTTTAAAACCTCCCCCACTCGCGACCCCAGCCAGATTGCAGACCCTAACCCCTTTCATATAGAGATATTCAAGGGGGCGGACTCTGATCCCTTCTGTTAATGCTTGGACACTGCAAATCTAGAACTGAAACTTTACAGAGTAAATCTACGTAAGCCCCACTACGCATTCAAATCGCCTCCTGGTCTGGATCACGAGTTTTCAGCCGTTTTCCGGCAACAGGCTGCAGGGGTGTGGCTCGCTGCGCCATAGCTCGCCGGCTCCTCCCTCTCCCTGGCGGGTGCTGAACCGCAAGGTGCCGGGACTCCTGGATTCCTGAGGGTCCACCTTAACACGCAGCCCCCGGCTCAGGGAGCCCCCCTCTATGTTCCCAGCTGTCTCGGATTGCCTTTGACCTTGGTCAGCTGCTGTGGTCAGTCTTTGCCTACCTGTTGCCAGGTGCATTTCTGAAATGGTGGGGGAGAAGCTGCAGAAGAACAAATTTTCCTCAGTGAGGGATTTGTTCTGAGGGCATAAGGCTGTTTATTTTTGTAGGAGACACCTCTCTGCTCTGTCTCTTCACCTGAAAGCCACCCTTGGTGAGTATTGCCAAGCCTTAGGGCTTTGCTTGCCTGTCGGGTTTCTTCAGCTGTTGTACCCCTGTGTCTTGGGTCCTTCTCCTGCTTTAAGCTTCCTACTGATGTTACTAAAAATTCTTCCTTCCCCAGCGCCAGCCTGTTGCACCAGAAACCTCACCCCAGTCAAGCATCTATCTGCATGATAACCCTTTTCCTGAGCATTCTCTCCTCTCCCTACAGCTGCTACTGCTCTCTGTGTTTCTATCAATTGCGAGCCATTTAGCCACACGCAGTTTTTATCCAGTTCTTCAGAATAACAAACATGGAACCAAAAGCCCGATGTCTTGGTGCTGATTTGTGGAGATGGGACACGATATACAAGAAGCACCAATGCTATCAGACAGATGAGTCACATGGACATTGCTCTGAATGGGGGTAGGGTGTGAGGTTTTAAATGGTGATTGGGATGAGCATAGAGGGCCTAGAAGTATTTCTGCCACAGTCTTCAGGATCCTTGAGTGGGGGTGTTGTTCTAGGAAGGAAAGTTGCCTTTCTCAAGAGCCTACATGTTTTTCTGGACTGTGAGTTCCTGAATGAAGCTTGGGCTTCCCCATGACTCATCTGCCCTGGGACTCTGGATAAGCACATCAGTTTCACTTTCCTTCAGCATTCTTTGTGCACCAGGCAATTCTATTTTAGTTCCTTAAGTTGTATTTTCAGTGAAAAGTCCCCTAACTGGTGCTGGAGATTGCACCTTATGTCACCCTTGACAGAACAGGGAGAGGCAAGGTCACAAGTGATTCTGTTCAGAGTGGTCGGAGGGCAGCTTCCAGGGCTACTAGGGCCAATGACTAGGACCAGACCCACCTGCTAATTCTCCGGATAAAAGAATCATAATGTAAATCATAGTCTAGGTATATAAATTTATCTCCTTATTACCATATCACATGAAGTGGTTGTCCAAGATTATAATAAAATTTGGAAGATACAGTTAGGATGACATGATTTAAAATAGAGGACATGTTGCATATATGATATTTATATATGTATATTAGAATATCTTGGACAGAGGAAACAAACAGTGATTTCAATTATGAGCCCCAAAAGAAAAGTCACAAGATAAATGACCTAAGTTGCAGGGGACCATTTTGGATCAAGCAGTTTCTTGCGAAGCAGGTCTCTGGGTAGCATGAACCAAAGTAACAGCCAAGGTCTATTTAACAACCGTAATAATTATAACAGGAACAATATTTCCTTGTATTAAATACACTTTCGAAAAAGTGAAACTGGTATTTGAACCAGCCTCAGGTGTTTCAGAGACTTCCTGTTTAGTGGGGACTTAGTGAATCTTACAGCTTCCCCATTTGGGTCTGGTGTTTAGGAGGTGGCTTACACTGGTATCTTTGTCCCCTTCTTTATAGCTTTTTTCTCCTTCCAGCTCCAACATCAATCCTCTGAATATATTCTTATGCTGGACAGAAGCACAGAAAGTCTGGTATTTGAATAGATAATCCCCAACATATCACTGTATTCATGATGTGTCTTTTCCACAGCAACCCTGCATCACCATGGTGCTCCGTGGTGGTCTACTAACCCGCAAAGAGGAACCAGGTAAGCCTGATTCATGACCCTTACTTGCCACTGTATCTTGGCATCTGGCCCCATGCCTGGCAGACAGGAAGACTTCTGTTAAAGTTTGTTCACCTCTTGAACCCTGGTCTATCTCCAGTACCCTTGAAGAGCATCTGTGTGACCTTGTCCATTCGTGAGTTCGTGGCTGGTGTGTCTGCTACCTTAAACTATGAAAATGAGGAAGACGTTCCTTTGGAGACCTTCTTTGTGTTCCCCATGGATGATGACTCAGCTGTCTACAGCTTTGAGGCCGTGGTGGATGGGAAGAAAATTAAAGCAGAATTACAGGAGAAGAGGAAGGTACTAGGGATGAGTAGATTATCTCTCCCCTTCTTATTTCCTTCATGCATACTCTTAGGATCTCTACAAATGCTCCTTCACAAAAAGTGCTGATGTGGAATGCTTTCTTCTACTCCCCTCTAGCTGCTATTTTCCTAAAATCATCTGGAGGTGGGGGGGAGGGTGGGAATCAATCAGAGCCATTCAAAGTATAGCTGTGAGCTTGGCAGCACGGATCACAGGCCTTCTCCATCAGTTTTTGTTTCTTGTACTATTCATCTCTTCATTCAAGCAAGCCACCTTTGCTGTGGCCTCTCTTTCCCTGTTCTCCTTAGGCCCACAGCATCTATGAGAGTGCCATCAGCAACCGCCGCCAAGCTTTCCTATTGGAGGAGGACAAGTACTCCAGGGACGTCTTCTGTTGCAACGTGGGGAACCTGAACCCAGGGTCAAAGGTGGCGCTCACCCTGAAGTCCGTGCAGGAGCTGCCCTTGGAAGCAGATGGAGCCCTGCGCTATGTGCTCCCAGCTGTTTTGAATCCTCGATACCGTGGCTCTGGTGACTCTTCTTTCCTTTTAAATCCCTGTGGTGGGTGATATAATTTGGGAAACCCCCTCAAGGTTGTAGGGGTGCTAAGAAGTGTGGGAAGGGGAAACAGAATTAAAGTCACTTTTTGTAGGATCGTTTGAGGACAGTTGCCTTGATATGAAGCCTCCTGTAGTCCCTTTGGAGGACCTGCCCTATACATTCAGCATGGTTGCCACCATCAGTTCCCAGCATGGCATTGAGAGGATCCAATCCAACTGCCCCTTCAGTCCTACTGAATACCTTGGAGAATATAAGACGTCTGCCCAGGTAATTCATAAGAAAGCACTGTTATTGCCGGCACCCCTATTCTTTGGGTTCTGATCTTGTTCCTCACTCAGTCCTTCCAAAATGGTCCTTACTTTTCCCTGTTAACTAGAGGGAATCCCACTTTGTTCCTTCTTTATCCCCATTTCTTCTCCAAAGCCTTCTCTCCATTCTTGTCCCTGCTCCTGACCACACTTCCTCATGGAAGAAGCCTGTAGCTCTCAGCCCTGACCTCAGCTGCACGCAGCAAATGGTGATAGTTCTAATATGGATCTTTTGCTTGTTCTTAACTCAGGTTTCCTTGGCTGATGGACACAAATTTGATCGAGATGTGGAACTCCTGATTTACTACAGTGAGGTGCACACCCCCACTGTTGCTGTGGAGATGGGGCAACCTAAAGACAACCCAGGTATTCTCTTTCTTCCTTTGTAGTGACCACCTAAAGGGGAGCTCCTGTCTTGGAATTACCCTCACTTTTCTTTCCTCCTATCCAGTAGTGGGTAAAACATTCAAATAGCTTACATTATGGTGTGCAAAAATGGTTAGATACAATGAGAATCCATCTACATGATTATGTCTTGTAGGCAGATTTAAGTGGATCAGTAGATAATTGGATCAAGGACGTGGACAAATAATTCACAAGAGGAAACACAACTAGTTTACAAATATAAATGACAATGATCAGTCTCTACAAGTGCAAATTAAGATTAAAAATAACTGGAAGTTTGTATCTCTTAATCCCTTTGATCTATTTCTATTCTATCCCCTTATGTATTATCTATTTTACTAAGAGGTATACACTTTCAGTTGCCAAATAAATAAGTCACAGAGATGAAGAGGAGAGCACAAGGAATAGAGCCGATAAGATTGTAATAATGTTGTTTGGTGGCGGATGGTGACTATACTTCTTGTGGTGAGTGCTGAGTAATGTATAGAGTTGTTGAATCATTACGTTGTATACCTGAAATTAGTATGACACTCTATGTTAATTATACTTCAATAAAAAAAGTAAATATTCATTTGTAGGAAAAAAATGAAATAAAAATAAAAATGTGATATTTTCACTTCTAAAACTATCAAAGATTTCCAAATCTGATAATGCCTCATCATCCATCTCCAGAGATTTTTTTCATCTCGCCCTAGTATCTTAACTTCTAAGACTAAGTGTAGTTTCTTAATAAATTTAGTTTCTTAATTTCTTTAATTTCTCATATTTTCTAAATTTTCCTGTCTATATGTGTACTTTTCTTTCTGATTGTAACTAGTATCACCCATATCAGTCTGTTGCTCTCTTGGGGCCTTCCTGGGCAGCCATGCCTCTGGATTGCAGGGACCATGAAGCCTAACTAGAAAGATATTGCCACTTCTGAAGAATTTCCTGCATTTGTCGAATGGAAGGGTGTTTGGGGACAGTCATAGTCAGGTTAGGTTCTTACTTCTGTAACTACAACCACTTTGAAGACAATTTCCTGCAGTTGGCCCTCCACAGGCCATTCTTCTCTCTCACTGTTAATGTTTGGCCAAAGCTGCCGAGAGCTCCTTAGTTTGTCCTCACTTGTTCAACCATTTTTCCTCCAGGCAAGCTGTCCATGCTAAAGCCGTTTAGAGGGGCTCCCAACTGCAACCAGGTTTGCTCTACCTTCTCTTCCGTGAAGCTCCATGCTCTGTCTGTACATTAGTTGAGTCCTTTTGTACTGGTTCTGTCCTTTCCCTTTAGTGGGTTCCCCCTTGGGTGTCCATGAAATACTTCCACAGTAGTGGGGGTCTGGTCTTCAGTCAGAATTATTTTAATCCACCACAGAAAGTTTTATAATCCTGAATCTTAAAAGGTATGAGTTGAGATCTCAGTTCCTTTCCTTCCAAGCAGTTCCCTTGGCCCTTGGCAGAATTCCTCATCTGTTCCTATGGTGGGCTCTGCAGGCCAGAGGGGGACATCGGGGGTAGCCTTTATGATCTTGTGAATCCCTTCTAGCAGGACCACTCAAATCTGGCTTTCCAGACCATCTGTCTGGTCAAGACAACTTGCTATTCCCATCCATATAAAGAAGCAAACAACAACTGGCAGCTTGACTCACTAAAACCATTGAGAGTTCTGCCAAATGAAGCATACCACTACATGATGAAAATACAAAATTTGTATTTTTTAAACTTAGAATGTCCTTAACCATATTAAGAACATGATTTTTTAAAAATTATATGTATAATTTAATAAAAGTAATAAAAAAGTATAAATACTTTCTAAAATTGTTATTAAGAGTTTAACCTGAGTTAAGCTCTAGGATGAGTTCCTTAAATGTATGATATCACTTAACCCTTAAAATAATCTTGAGGCAGGTATTACTACTTGGATTCTTCAGATGAAGAAACTGAGGCTAGCAAGCTGAGGAGCTAGGGCTTGAAATATCTTATTTAAAAATGAAGAAGCAGGGGCACCTGGATGGCTCAGTCGTTAAGCGTCTGCCTTTGGCTTAGGTCATGATCCCGGGGTGCTGGGATCAAGCCCCGCATGGGGCTCCCTGCTCCGTGGGAAGCCTGCTTCTCCCTCTCCCACTCTTCCTCCTTGTGTTCCTTCTCTCGCTGTGTCTCTGTCAAATAAATATATAAAATCTTTAAAAATAAATAAATAAATAAGAGGAAGCAGAAACTCACGTAGGTGAAAATAACTTGAGCTACGCCAAAGGAATTACAGTCGAAATACCTAGATAGTGCATTTTGTATATCTCGCATTGTTCTAAACACATTAGATATATGTCCCTATTTCGTTGTCATGGCACGCTTTCTGATTTACCAGTCTAGCGCCAATCCCATTACAATCAGCTGTGTCTTAAAATGGAAGGGAATTTATCTTGCCTATTAAAAAAAAGCTGCTCTTCCACCATGTATCCAGAGATCTAGATTTTTTAGAAGTTATCCTTGAACCAGTGTTTAAGCAAATATTTGCTGAGTTGCACCCGTTTTATTTAGAAGGCAGTTTGGTCATTGGGGTATCCCAGGGTTAAGAGATTAAACTGAGCCGCATCCGATAGGCATACTGAATCCCAAGGCTACTGAGAATTTAAACTCATCATTCTTGAATCACTTTATAAAAATAGGATATTGGAATTCCATTCTTTGTTAACTTATATTTTCTGAACTATAAAACAAGTGGATATAACCCAGCCATTCTCATTTCATCTCTGTCTCAATGCTAACATTTCAATTCCTGCATCAGTTTTCACTTGTTCCTCAAAATAAAATCAAAGCTTTGACAACTTGGTAACAAAGGCCAGACTCCCATGGTTTCCTCTATAGTGTTGTTTGGATGATGCGATTAGAGTCTAACACACATCCTAGCTCTGGAGATGTTTCATACCCAAAGCAGACGGACTTTCCTTGGTGTGTATGACACTATGCCCTCAGCTCTTACAAATTGTCAACATAAGAATTCCCCATGAACATCATGTTTTCAAAAGTGTAATTAAAGACTTAAATAAGGACCCATGTGATAAATTTCCCATTGATTTGATTTGAAAGGAAGGTGTCTCTGCAAAGAAATTAGCTCAGTTCTTCTGGTAAATGCTGGAACATTAAAACTTCATGCATTTCACTAATTTACCTAGCTGCTAGGAAGCTAGCATCCAACTATATATTTTAATTATGGCTTGTGCCTGGTAACCTCTACCTTCTTTTTTCTCTTTCATATCTTTTCTGCTTCTAATCTTTTATGTTTATAACTCACCTCAAACCCTTTGCCAGCAGACACAGTATGAAGATCAGTGTTTTAGATTCAGATCTTCTCAGCTCCCTATCTAACTCACTATAATTGATTTTTGAGGTCTTTAGTATTCTTGAGTTCCTTTTCATATTACAGTGTCCTTATCCTTTTTTTTTTTTTTACTTTTTTATTTTATTTTAATTTTTTTATTGTTATGTT